TTGAGGGCGGGGGGCTGGCACAGTAAACTGGTAAATGTCGTGATAATGTTCTTTTTTATAGAATGTCAGACGATCTACAAAAAAATAGAGTCCAAGCATCATCAAACGAACAACTGTTAGTTTCGTCAATGCTAAAATCGTATCCAAGTTTCCGGAAAAAATCCCAAACAACAATTTGACAATCGCGTTTCACCAAAATGTTCCTTACTAGATATAAAACAACAGACAGCACTTATCTCTGTTGAACATTCTTCTTCATCATCACAAAAGAAAGTGTGTTTTGTTGTGCTGTATTTGACTTTTAGTCTTTTTACCATTTGACAAGCTTTAAACAGCTTGTCGCTTTGTTCACTTCCTGACCATTGAAGTGTTTAGTGTTACAGTAACTATGTTCCTGGAAATGGCCATTTAATTCATTTCTTGATGAACTGAATTTACTCAAGAGTTGCGCTATCAAGTTCGGTACAACTTTCCGTCGGTTTCTATGGTATCCTGCTTGTGGCAGTTAAAGTATCGCCTGTTACAATTTAAGATGGATTAAATCTTTTGTTTACGCTCGACTATTCGAAAACTATGGAGAGCTATTGTAATTTTGAATTTTGACAGATCTATGGCCCCTTTTAATTTCGAATATTCTTCATTGTTCAGACTCTTGTTTCACTACCAATCACTGAGAATAGTCGAGCGCACTGACTCTTGTTAATAGATAAGTAGCGAGGTACTGTAAATAAGTTACAGTTCTCGAAAGAAACATGCGAAAATTAAGGTTATTTATCAAGAAGATTTTTACATTTGATTCGAAGGAAGATTAAAGTATGAGAAAGTATAAGCATGAGACAAATTGAACGTTGAATGGCGAAATTATTTTTGCGAGAATGTAAAATCTTGCTTCTTATCTATAAAAAAAACAGAAATGTGGATTTTAGAAAAACAATATAGCATGTCAATAGATGTCCTTTAACTGGTTCAAGCACGACACCTTATATTTCACCTGTATTAAATCCACCTGGAAAGTACAGACGTTAGAAGACACTTTTTGAATAGCTTTGTTGGGGTACAGTCGTATAAAGTTTATAAAAGTTGATATTTGTTAAGGAATTATTATGATAAGAATGACAATTCAAAATTTGTTGTAGTTGTGGTTGAACGTTAATCAAAGAATAAATAATTTGCCTAAATTTAGATAAGTAATTCCTTACTTGTATACCTTTTAAAGACTTTTCTTGTCATATTTATAGCTATGACATGTGTTTTAACTTTTCAGCACAGTCAAGCTTTTCACAAAACTTTTTTAACAATAATGTCAAATATAGTGTTACAGTAATATATCGTGAATTCATCATACATTTAAACAAATAAGAGTCGGTCAATTTTAGTTGGAATCATAGCGCTTTAATGTCCGTCATAATGCTTCTGTACAAGAAATAGATATATATCAACCATTGCGATAATCAATAATAAAAATGAACGTGAATTCAAATATTCAATTCGTATCATTATGGTTTGTCCCTGTATGACATAAATCTGCCCCTTTCGCAACATGAATGCATTCATTGTCCTTGTTGACTGCACTTGCTTCTACCTTAGATCATGAAGTGTTTCTATTTTAGGATTTGGGTTATCAAGCGTTGCTATGTCAAATTGTCAGTTCATGATGATATATTGTTAGTATTATCTTGTCTGATGTTAGACTAGTGACAGTTCATATCTTTACAGGAGGTTTTCTTTAAGTGTTTATATCATTCTGTTTAGCTCTAATATTAAATGTTCAAAACATTATGTTTCTTAACATTTAACCTTACACCCTATATATCTTAGACGTGAAGAACAAATTAACAAAACGTAAAAGTATGAGCCATTTTCTAAAATTCTACGATGTTAACTGTTTTATTTGTGGCATAACTTCTCATAAATTTTTTTCGTTATTTTGAATTTTGAAAATATTTATTGAAAAGTAGTTCATTTAGTTGTTGTTGTTTTTTTAATGACTACCAGTAAGGTTGTGAACTACTGTGCATATTATGGCTTAATTAAAATCTATTCCGCCTTTCTCACTCAAAGTTGAAGCTTTGCCAATAACCATACTTCATTTACTTTTCTGTATAATATAAGTGATGTAACTATGTTCTATATTTATGTATAAGCCGTTTGTTATTGCAATATCTCCTAAAGATGTGAAGTAAAAACTGTCTAAAAGAGCCCATTTCTAAACCCATTTACAATTTACAATTTATATTACAAGGTACAATTTATATTTGTGACAATGGATCTCATAAAAATTAGTTTTATTTCGTTACATGAAAATGTCAGAGAAGGAGTTAATAATATTTATGACTATTAAGCATCGTGAATTACAGTGCATTATATGTATGTAATGACATACGTTTCAGCTTTCTTAAAAATAAAGAAGTAAAGTTGCGTTTTCTATAATCATAGTTATTTTTACACTCTGTTTAATATCAGTGATACAGCTATATTATATATCTACTGGCCACACGTTATTGCATTCTCGTACATTGAAGTTGATAAGTTTGCTATAAATTTGTTATAAATTTCCAGATACAACGTTTTTTTTTGCAATTCTGTATTTATAAAAACTTGTTAAAGCAAATGCGTGTGGTGTCAAGACATTTCAAACAGGAGATAAAAAGAAACCCATTTTGATTGCTGATAACTACGGAAGAGCATTAGTGCCAGGTGTATGTTTTTTATTAACTCGAAATTTGGAGTTACTAGCTCGCAATTTCGACTTACTTATCTCGAAATTTCGACTTACTAACCCGAAATTTCGACTTATTAACATTACAAGACTTGCCAAAGTTATTAGTTAGATAATATAAGATATAGTAGGGAGTGCCGTTGAACGATGGAGATGGGGGAACGGGTGCATGGACAAAAACTATTGAAATGAAACTTAAACTTAGTAATGGCATGTACACACCCAACCTAAAAACACAAGGCTTCCTTTATTTTGTACGTTCAGGCGTTCTTCACACGTTGTATTGTATCCCATCTGTTGGAACATATCTTTTCGCTAATCATATTCGTCTCATCCCTGTGAATAAAACGATCCTATACTTCACGTGTTGGACATCTGAGGAAAGTATCGCGGCGTGGCCAAAATAGGCCGTGCTGAGGCCTTTGTCAAAATTGTTGGACTGACTATATTTCTTGTAAAATCGGATGCTTTATATTATTCCAATCATATATATAACAACAAGTTCCACTTTTATCAACTTTTATCAACACAATATGAATCAAAGTATTAGTAAAAAATGAATAATGTTACAAAAACATTATTAGTATAAAGAAACGTGACAGACTAACTGGCGTATACACGCCATTTAAAACTTATTTAACACATGATATTGCACAGTTTACAATAGGGTAGGTTTTGGACTTGTTGTTTCTCCACATGATGGTTTTATGTGTGCTTAAGAAAAAGAAACATCCGGTTTACACGGATATGTGGAAAGTGTGATTTTACACACCCCCCCCCCCTCCACAATAAGCGAAACATATGGACAATTTGACCCTTTTAAATTGCTCTGTCAAATAAATTTTAAAGGTGCTCTATCAATGTGCAACAGCTACACACTAAAGTTGTGCAATGTAAGTCGAAATTTCGTGTTACTAAGTCGAAATTTCGAGTTATTAAGTCGAAATTTCGAGATAAGTAACTCGAAATTTCGAGTTAGTATGTCGAAATTTCGAGTTAATAAGTCGAAATTTCGGGTTAGTAAGTCGAAATTTCGAGTTAGTAACTCGAAATATCGAGATAAGTAACTCGAAATTTCGGGTTAGTAAGTCGAAATTTCGAGTTAGTAAGTCGAAATTTCGAGTTAGTTACTCGAAATTTCGAGTTAGTTACTCGAAATTTCGAGATAAATAAGTCGAAATTTCGAGTTAGTAACTCGAAATTTCGAGTTAATAAAAAACATACACTTGGCATAACAACATTTCAATGTTTTTGTGTTTTATATTGTATATTATAGTAAGTATATATCCAAGGACCCCATTGGAAATAAGCCTTCGGGCTTTCATGGGCAATCCGAGGTTATTGCACACTACTCTATACATGTTTCCACTTACGTCGTCACCTTTTATTAAACTAGTAAATTGATATCTAATCATAGGAAAGAAAGAGTTTTAGATTTTGTTTTTAGTTATAATATTTTATTATTTAATGAGCCGTCTGTGATATTTATGTTTGACAAACTTCCGAAATATTTTATTACAATTGTGTCATCAGTTTTATATAAAATGCTTAAGTGTTTGTTTTATGTATACATGTATGTGTGTTTTAACCTGAATAAATATCTATCTATCTATCTGGCACTAATGCTCTTCCGTAGATAACCCTTGACAAATGTACCCGGTGGAAAAACGGATTTTTTGAAGAAAAAAAGCAAATACATTTCGTCTATGATTACGATTTAAATTGACAGTTTTTTATAGATAACATATAAGGTTAATATTTCAAACTTATTTTAACTGCCAATGTAAGAAGTGAGTCTAGGAAAGTTTGCTAGACAACAATGTTGAAGTCATTCCAAAAATGTTTTTAAACATGGTCTCATTGATGCTGAAGACTTTTAATCTAAGAGCATGTTCCATATAACTGATTTATTTTATAAAAAGAAAAGATCTAAAAGAACAATTAAAAATAGTAGCGTTTGATTAAAGAAAAAAATTGAATAAAAATTCTGATTTGTTTTCTACATTCAGGACATCCGGTACATTTTACCTGTTGATCTTATCGCCACGTTCAACTAGGACTAAAACAGGTCAGCGTAAATATGAAGGCAATACTAGTTAAAAGCGGACTAGATCATTGTTAATTTAGGAGCAGTGTCATTATAACTATCCAGATAAAAAAAATAAGCAGAGTTTTATTAGCTGCTATTTTATAATCTCTTATGTCAATATTTCTATATGTATATATATATGGTCTTATAATAACAGTACATGTATTTAGAAAGAAAAGTTTTGAATAGTTATTCACACATGCAGGACCTCCCGCTAACTACAACACTGACCCTTATCTCCAAAATTAACGAAGCAAAATTACATAACAAATTTAGTTGCAAGATAAATTCATAAAACATGCAAGCTATTATCCACATTTTTATGTATATGATAATTTGGAAAGGTATGATTTTATTCATTTGAAAGAAAGTCCATTGTCTCATATTAATTCTAATTGACTATTGATAGCATTATATTTTAAATTTTTTATGACTGTGTATTTAAAATTAACTGTATTGTTTTAATGTCAGGTTGCGATGCACAACAACGCAACTTTACGTTGGCCAGCACGACGATTACAGCCGAGAAACTCCAAGAAAAGGTCAATGACTACGGCCAGTGCTACGTTGACGTTGTCGTCCATAACTCCTCGTCCTTTCAATTTGGACTGTTAAATGCTACAGTTATAGCGTTAACAAATGATTCTGGTAAAGTTTACTACGCCGACAGGCTAACGGATATTAACGGTCATGTTTGTATTCCGGTTCTCTGCCATAAAGCAATTCGCATTTTTGTAGAGAAAAATTCTGTTCGAATTTCTGCACTTAATAAAACGATGCAACAGAGAAATATTCCGAGAGGATTTAGTGTAAAATTTGAAACAAATAATGAAGTGATATTATTTTATGCATATGCATGGGGAACAGTAGCCGGTAGGTCCGGTCCCGTTTACAGTACAAAAGAAAAAGGAAAATGCAACGCAGCTTTAACAAGCGATTATCATTTTGTATTTTCTTACATTGCTATTCCCGACAGACTGTTGTCGACACTTCCCCCACCTACTAACCCAGATGATCCTTCTGATCCGAAGTTTGAAAATGCTTGGAGATATGGTATGACGGGCAACAGACAATCATGCTTTTTTAAAATTAAAATAAAGGTTGGTTAAAAATCAATTCTGTTTTACAATTAATGCCAAATTGTATTCGTTATTCTTTTGTTTTACACATTTACTTCAAACTCAAAATATGCAATGTAGAATTATAATAAACATTTGTACATTTAAATGGCTTATCCGTTCGAATAATATTTTGTTTCCGGTTATAACCATTCTCTGAACTATACGATTATGAAAATGATTTCTACTATCGTATTTTATTGCATTTCAGACCCTCTCAACGCAAGTCAAAATAAGTGCATACAGCAGACTTGACAATGCAAATGGAACGGTGTATGGCTTATTTGAAACTGGGCCAAAATACGACGTTAATGCTGCTGATTACACGGATAAGGCAGCTTGTGTAGAGTTCAGATGCCCGGCTGTTGGCATATTGGATGGTGTTGAAATGTCTACCTATATCGAAGGAAATATCCAGGTCCCAGGACATCCCAACGGATGCTGCATCAGGTACTTTCCTAATTTTGTTGTAGATCTATTTGAGAAGAATTATGTAAAGTATACAGAGTTTTATTACATTGCAATTTACTTTATATATTTATCATTTAACTATTTAGTTAGATTAATGTAGTACAAAAATCAACGGAGGCCGGGCACACCATTTGCTTTAAACAGTGTTCTCCATTTTATTTCAATAAATTCAAACATCTTAAAGAATGTGTTACGGTATCATACTTATCAATTGACATGAATAACTTATCGCTATTCCTTTCAGCAACATTCAATCAGGAAATATCTTCAAAGTTGAACGCACAAAATTCAACACGGTATTAGCAATGACCAGCACAGACAAATACGGCTCCGAAAAGGGAATCTACATTAACCAAGATCCGCGTGTTGCACGTGCAAAATGCTTCACTGGTCGTGAATTTCTAGGCTCTGAGTATGCAATGAATGTAAATGTAGGATATGCATTTGAATATGATTGTCAACAGGACCAACAATGTTCTTTTGTTCTTGGTAAATAAAGATAAAAAGGAAGAAAACACATATATTGAATATTCTTTAAATTATTTTATCGTAATAACTTTTCTAAGAGTTTTACTAAATAAGTAAACGAATATTGAGTGATGTATACACATGTTTTAACCATTTCAGCTGCCTAACAATAAATCTGATGTTAACCAATTACGTATATCCTGAATTCTATCAACATGGTTGAAATGTATCATTTTTCATAATCTTGTGGACCTGTTGTTTGTGTGTTTGATGTTTGGGTGGGTTTTATATCCCACCGACACAGTATTGGTCAAATGGCGACATTCCAGCTTTATTGGCGGAGAAAAACCTCAGGTGCCTTTTCTTGCATTAGAACCACCAACATGTGGGCCTCTAAACATATTACAATATGTTCTATTTGAATCCGAGTTGAAATGGTTTGATTTTATTGCCTCATTCATAACAATGAGAGAGTGAAAACAGGGAAGAATGACAATAATGTCAAAAGAATGAAATAATTCGTTGTTACTGTTAATTGAAAGTACAATGTAGTTCAAACCATACGAAGTGAAATAATATAAATTTGGTAAAAATTCACGTTATAGCGAGCAAGTTGAGTGCGTGTTCCGTAAAAACTTATATGTAAGGGAGTATGCATAGTAACGATCACAAGAAAGCAAAAAAGCATTTGTGCATAAATGAATCATTGAATTTGAATAAAAATATCTCTCTATAAGCCACACATTTTTCAAAAAACCATTTTAAAGCATTAATTCAATGTGGTACATATATTGAATACAATCAAAGAAATAAAACAACACAACATCATAATTTAAAGAATATATATCTGATTATTACGTAGATGATAAGGTATAAAACAAAAACTACTTTTGGTCTTATCTAATTTTTTGTCCTGTAATATTTGTTTAAAATGTCAGATTGACGGGCAAATGTTTCCCAAATCTTATGTGCAGTCAAATTCGACAGCTGTGCTTTGTGTCGGATCCATTAAGCCCTTGACATTTGGACCACGATCGAATCCACTTTCACAGAATTGTTCCACTTGTTTTGGGGGACTGTCGCTAATGAAAATACCATATCTGGATCCATAATTTATCCCTGCCTTTGCATTAAATGTGAAACCAATGTCTCCTTTTGTTGCATCTGTGATATGCGTTATGTTTATCAACGAATTCGTTTTACTGAAAAATAAAATGTACGAATGTATGGTAAAAGTGATTAAATATTTGTTATCAGATTTATTTTGTAGCCATTGAAATCGTTAAAAATTCTACAAAAATGTTAATCGTCACTGAAAAATTGGTAATATCCCCGTACTGCCTCTTTCCGATCAGCTAACAGATTTTTCAACAATAACTGACAGTGAAATTATATATAAAAAAAATCTCTTTCAATTCTGCAAATATTATCATTTCAGCTAATAAATGCACCAACTTTTTAAAATTTTACTTGAATTATTACTATGAATCGAGGACAAATCATTACTGACCCATTTTCCTGTTCTTCAAAATTTCACAACCACTTTTCAATCAGTTAACAAAATATAAACTGTACCACATAAAAAATGGCATACAATGTTAAAATATCATTAGTTCTGTATTTTGGAGAAATTTTGACAAACTCAACTTCAGATAAATGGTAATAAACAATTTTAACCTAATTATAATGCCGTTTTTCAATCTAGATATTTATTTGCAGTGGTAAAGCTGTCACAATTGGGGTATGGATGTACATTTCAATTTGCATCAAATAGACCGATGCCCTGTAAATGGAGGAATGTGACTGTATATTTGTCTATATGTCTATTTGAGACCATACTTGTGGGGTTTATATTTAATGTGGGGCATACATAAGGCCCCGCAACTCTAGCATGTTTAAAATGATGTATGGGGGTGTAGGCTACCCTTCTAAAATAGTGCCCGTAGGCTGGTTTTAGTAGTAAATGGTATATGTCCCACAAATGTATATATTTTTAATGGGGTTTTATGTTATTAGTCAATATGTTTTCACCTATTGTAAAATTAAATATATAGTTGATATATATAACATAGTACCCCTTAGTTCTGTTGTTTGGAAATGTCATTATATGCCTACATAGTGGCATATATAAAAACTGACTGCATGAAATAATGCCACTCAACTCGGTCTTATACATGTAAATAGGCCCCGTAAGTGTAGGTATGTGTGAATATATGTATATATATATATATTTATGTATATATCTAAAAAAAAAATGTCGAGCTAATGAATGACCCCCGGGGCGGGGCCAATTTTGACCCCAGGGCTCTTATTTGAACGAACATGGTAGATGTTTCATGCTAAATATCTTAGCTCTAGCTCTTTGCATTCTTTAAAATAATTTTTTTAAGTTTTTACTATATGCATATAGGGAAAATCAATGACGCCCTGGGGCGGGGCCAATTTTGACCCCAGGGCTTTTATTTGAACAAATTTGGTAGACACCCATTAGAAGATGTTTTATGCTAAATATATTAGCTCTAGCTCTTTGGGTTCTTTAAAAGAAGATTTTTTTAATGTTTTTACTATATACATATAGGGAAAATCAATGACCCCCAGGGCGGGGCTGATTTTAATTCTAGGAACAAAATTTGAACAACTTTGGTTTTGGACCTATAGATGATACCATAGACCAAATATCAAAGCTCTAGGCCATTTACTTTCAGACGAGAAGATTTTTCAAGTTTTCACTATATGTATATAATGAAAATCAATGACCCCCCGAGGGCGGGGCCAATTTTGACCCGAGGGCCATTATTTGAACAATCTTGGTAGAGGTCTACCACACAATGTTTCATGCCAAATATCTTACCTGTAGCCTTTGCCAATTCAGAGAAGAAGATTTTTTTATGTTTTACTATATACATATTAGAAAAACCTATGACCCCCCCCCGGGGCGGGGCCAATTTTGACACTAGGGACAAAATTTGTACAACTTTGGTATTGGACCTACCATAGACCAAATGTCAAAGCTCTAGGCCATTTACTTTCAGACCAGAAGATTTTTCAAGTTTTCACTATATGTATGTAATGAAAATCAATGACCTCCCGGGGCGGGGCCAATTTTGACCATAGAGCCATTATTTGAACAATCTTGATAAAGGTCTACTACACAATGTTTCATGCCAAATATCTAATCTGTAGCCTTTGCCAAATCAGAGAAGAAGATTTTTTAGATTTTACTATATACATATAAGGAAAAACCTATGACCCCCCGGGGCGGGGCCAATTTTGACACTAGGGACAAAATTTGAACAACTTTGGTAGAGGACCCATAGATGATACCATATACCAAAAATCAAAGCTCTAGGCCATTTAGTTTCAGACCAGAAGATTTTTCAAGTTTTCACTATATGTATGTAATGAAAATCAATGACCCCCCAGGGCGGGGCCAATTTTGACCCTAGGGCCATTATTTGAACAATCTTGATAGAGGTCTACTACACAATGTTTCATGCCAAATATCTAATCTGTAGCCTTTGCCAAATCAGAGAAGAAGATTTTTTAGATTTACCTATAGACATATAAGGAAAAACCTATGACCCCCCGGGGCGGGCCAATGTTGACACTAGGGACAAAATTTGAACAACTTTGGTAGAGGACCCATAGATGATACCATATACCAAAAATCAAAGCTCTGGCCCATGTACTTTCAGACAAGAAGATTTTTTAATTTTGTGTTTTTTTAAATCCTTTTCTGGCCCTGTGACCTACATATGCAACAGACCGGAACCATTTAAACAACTTTGAAAGGGACCACCCAAGGATCATTTCTGTAAAGTTTGGTGGATGTGCAGTCATTGGTTTCAGAGGAGATGTTGTTTATGTTAAAAGTTGACGACGCACGACGCACGACGACGGACGACGGACACAGGGCGATCACAATAGCTCACCCTGAGCATTGCTCAGGTGAGCTAAAAATTCTAGGGGTGATTGAAAAGTGGTTGTGATTGAAAACTGGCAGTGTGTGGATAAACTTTAGATAATCATGAGGAAATTATTCAATCATTACATGAAAAGGAATCGCAACATATACGTAGATGTGTAAATGTGATTGCTAAACGCTTTGGCGTAGAAAAGTTAAAATGAAACAAAATATCATATTTGACTTATTAATATAAAGCTGATAGCGTGATTAAGTAATTATAAGATAATTCTCATTTTCTGTCATATAGATAACGTAAAAATAAAAGTCATCTTGTCATTCAGATTTTAACTGAGGAACGAGAAGTTAGTCTTAACAAATTTGATTTTAACAAGTTTATACCTTAATCGTTAGTAGGTCCGCCCAGGAAAAGCAATGTTTTTTACTCATATAACGTCAAACACCACAAGTACACATGTTTATAAAATAGTCTAAAGAAAAGCATTGACTACCCGTCTTCTACCATGTTTCTCAATTATTGTAAAACCTTGACTTCATGAACCCTAAGATTTTACATTGGTATATTAATAAAACAAATAACAGAAAACACATAACATCATATTATCACTGTCTATGATTGTACACTGAACTCTGATATTAAAACCATCGCAATAATGATCAGAAATAAAATACAATAAGGCATTTTTTATGCTTTAGATTACTTAGACTGACCTGATTTTACATCGCAAGTTTCCATTTGAAGTGACCATACGAACTTCTATTGCTGTATCCAGGTCAAATATTTCTTTATTGCCGTCTTTGATGTATCCCGGGCATCGAAATTCGATACAAGCTCCCCTTACAGTCAGATCCGTTTTTCTAGGATCAGGGGTTGGCCCTGTAGAGTATGATCCAAATTCATCGCCGTTTACGTCTTTTAAATGACTCTTTGCAAAAAATCGTATATCAAATGTATCAACTATCTGAAAATAAAACAATACAATTTTTGTTCATTTCATATTCATTCTTTAAGTAGTTTGTCATTAAACAATCCCATATGTATTGGTGACGAACAAATATCTCTAGAAATAATGTAATGAGCTTTAAGAAGACTCTAAGCTAAAAAAAAGCTTAACGCATAAGATATCGAATATGACCATTCAATGCGTGTATCCGAATATGTATACACCTACAAAAGTTGAGATAAACATGATTTTGTAATGTATTTATAACACTTGAATACTAGTATTTCAATACTGGTTATATGAACTTGCATTATTATTAGGTA